TTGTAAACAAAGATCACCCAGAGCCTGTGGTCATTTGTTTCTTTTCCAGTCAGCCAAGGAATAACTTCTTGGTGGGGTCCAAGTCTTCCCTGAATGGAGAGAAGTGGAGATGTAATATGGTACATTGGTCTTATTTCAAACTGAGCAGCTTTGGGAATCGGTATGAATGTGGAAATACTTAATTATTTGCATTGTAGTAGCTGTAGAAGCCCTTTACTTAGAGCGGGTGGGGAAAAAACTCCAGCATGGTTGCATTTCTACTACCAAGTATAGGAGTTAGAGTGGCCATCCTAGAGGACATTCTGTTTTTCTGCTCCTCTGTCCTCTATTGATACAAAACTGTCCTCTATTTTTCCCTTCTCTTCAAGGGAAAAATAGAGGACGTAAAGGCATCTGGTTTCCTATCAACAGAGGACAGAGAAGAACCAGACAATCATCTATGATGGCCACCCTAATAGGAGTACAAAGGTATTCTAGGCCTTGCCATCCCAGGCCTCTGCCTGGTTTCTGCCAGGGGCTCACAGGGTCCACATGGGAGAGAGAGCATTCTGCCAAATGCCAGCCTCTATCTACCAGCCAAGGCCCATCCTCTCAAGCTCTAGAAATGAGATTCAGTGAGTTCACAGCTGCTTGGTTTGTGGCCCATTGTGTACAAGCTATTTCCAAGTATTTAAATTAGCTTTTTGAAGAATTTGTATGTGATTTGTGCATGCCCATAATATAACCTTTACCTTGAGCAGTACCCAGGGGTTTAATATATGGAGCGGCACAGAACTTGGCAGCTCTGCCTGGGCCTTGAGGGGGATTGGAGGAGTGCATGTGGTGGGTGTGGGGAACCTGGAGCAGCCAGTGTTGTGGAAGTATCTGGATTGAAGGTGGCAGCAGTTGTCAGAAGGGTTGGCTGGGGGAAGTTGTGTTGTGGAAGTGAGAGGGAAAGGAGCTGGGTTTCTTTGGCTGCCTCAGGACAGCAAACTGAGGGTAGAGGTCAAGGAAACAAAGGAAGGCAAGGTTTGCAGTGGCTGCCAGGGAAACAGTTGAGTGAGCCATGTTTGTGAAGATGCTTGGGGGGAGCTGGATAGCTTGGGGGCAAAAGCCAGAGACCAGCATGGAGAAGGGGGTAGGGTAAAGGGACTTTGGGGTACCTCGGGAATCTGTGGGAGAACAGAAGGCTTGGAGGGGCGGGTGGATGTGTTTGGGAGAAGGAGGCCAGCAGCCTGCTTAGTAAAGAAGCCTAAGGTTGGTATTGAGCATCCCCACTCTCCTATCCTTGCATCTGTAGGACTGCTCCTTCCCTGCTTAGTTCTAGCAGGGAAGTAGTGAGCTGCAATTACATTTAAACTACAATCATTGGGCCTCTAAGATAAATCTTCACTGAAGTGGCTGGAGCCGTTTGCACTACTCCATCCTTTCAGGCCCTTGACAGCCTCAGGGAAGAATCACTGTTTCAGGGACCAGGCATCACTTCAAAGTTTGGGATGGGATGGTGGTGCAGCACCCAGGCAATGGTGGTTACTCAGGGTCAGTGACCTACAATTCTTTTTTGCTTCCTGCCGCGTTTTCTACACTGGATGCATCTACATGAAATACTAAAAGTGCAGTAGACAGATTCTGTTGTGCATTAGTGCATTACAGTGAAAACTGCTAATGCAGAGTAGAATTAGTCTTCTGAGCATTAGCATCACTTAATTGACAAGCACTGGTGCTACTGTGCAGTAGCGCTTATTACTGTGTATTTAGTGCCTGTTATAACTAGTACTAAACTTAATGTGCAGTAATTATGGCACATTGATACATGTGTAGACATGCCCACTGTTGTTTAACATCCCCGAGTTCCTTGTGTTCTTCTTCCTTTACCATTAGCCAGGCTCTTGCGCAGGTGACCAGAGCTTATGCAGCGTTCTACAGGTGGGCCACACTATTCTTCTATAGTTGCATAATAAAAGAATCAAAAGAGGTAGTTAGCCATGTTAGTCTGAAATAATGCAGAAGGCAGGGTACATTTTCACCTTGTGGATGATCTAAGTAATAACTAAATTATTTAACTGACCACTATTCCTGTAATAGCTGGGACACTGTAGCTCAGTGGTTAAAGAGTCTTGATGCACCTCCAGAGGCATGAATTCAAGCAGGTACCTGGTCATTCAGGCTGGAGAATCAAAGGCAGCCAGACATGTTGCTAACCACATCACTCCCGTGTGTGCCACTGGCTACAAAAGCTAACGCGTTTTTAGATTTGGGTGGATGTTTGACATTTTTTACTATTGTGGCAACTGGTAGTTGGATGCAGATGACATGAGACTTCTGGAGGAGAATGAATGAATAACTAAGATTGTCCAGCAAACATTTTTCCAGCTTACCTGTCTATGATTTTTAGGATCCGTTTCCCTCATCCTAGGCAGGAAAATTTGATTCACCTGACTGAGCTAGAAGGGGAATGAACAATCATGTGGAAGTGAGAGTTAATAAGACCTTCCAAATACCTTGTTCTGTTGTCCCCAAGGGGCCTACTTGGAATCTTCTTTCATTAAAAGAGATTTCCTATATTTGGCAGTAACTGATGGCAAGCTATTTCCCTTCAGGATTTTTTTTTTGTTGCCAAGCAGGGAATTATATTAACAATTCTAAACCTTTATTCATGCATCTTAAATACCTAGTTAAGATCAGAGGTCAGCACTAGTCCTATTATCATTGGGTATAAATTGCCTTGTAACTGTAACCGTGACAATTCAAGAATCACATATGAGAATTCCCCAAACCTCCTGACAACAGCAGTCAGTGCAGTGTAGTTGATGTATTCAGACTTCACAGACAAGATCTTGTTGTTTCTCATTAAAGTTGCTTCCCCATTCTGTGCCTCAGTTTCCCCCTTTGAAAAAAATAATTCACTTGACCACACCTGGCTGTCCTGAGGACAGATCAATGACATTTCACACAAACATTTATTAGAAATACTAAGAAATGACTAAGTATTATTATTGTTAGTGTTTCATCCATTAACTTCCTGCAACCTAAATTACATGACAAAACTCTGCTAGAGGAAGAATGCTTGAGATATCAACTTCTTACTGTTTTAAAGACAAGCTTCAGAGAAGCAAATCCCTACTTGGTAGCAGAGGCTCCTTGAGGTAGGCTTAGGCTCTCCAAATTTGAATTGGAAACTAAATAGTTCACGTTAAGCTGCACCTGTTAAGTTCTTCAAGTCAGTGTAAATTTGGAGTGCTTTGGCTGAAGTTACTGTGGTTACCTGAGCTTTTGATCCCAAACCTGGATCAGTAAGAACTTGCATCAGGGCTGAAACTGAGCCCTAAAGCCTGCTTCTCCATAGCCTTGCTCCTTTGCTGTCCTCATTTATGCTGGCACTTTGTACCTGGATTGCACGTACATATATGACAACACAAAGGGAAGGCAGAAATCCACCGGCAGCAGTCTTTGGCTCTGTTAGCATGTGAGCTTTTTTAAACAAATCAGTCCACAGTTCTGAGTGGGAATTCATCTCCTGTCCAACACACGGGTGGGTCAGCAAGCTCTTTTCTGAGGATAGTGAATTATCTACAGAATTTAAGTTTTAGTTTAATAACTGGTTTCTCTCCTTTCAGGTTGTGAAGAAAATCCCTTGAAGGTATAGAGTGGCAGTGATTAGGATAATCAAATATCTAGGCATGGGGGACATGCTGATCTTGACATTTGCCACTAGAGAATCTACTTTCTACTACTTGCAGCTTTTAAAGTATCCAGCTTATAAGCATTGAACAGAAATGCCAACCTGAGATGCACAGTAAGAGCTGGGAATGATGTGGATTTTGAGGTGTGGAAGACAAAAGTTTGGGTGCCCCTATACTGTACATATTTAAGTTTATACTGTTGACATCTTTGCCAGAGAGGATGGAAAGTCAGCAAAATGGTTTACTTTTAGTCTAATTATGCAACTACCTGGCAGAAAGGTTTTTATAAGTGACAAATCTGGAAAAGTGAAGAGAGTATAGGTTTGGCCCCAAAGATTAAGAGTGTTGCACTCTAGGTAACCTATAAAGTTGTCACAGTCACCTGTCCTGGACAATGTAAAATTGTTCTGCCCTGAGTCACAGATCCCTGGATTCCTTTTAAAGTCTGTGTAACATCATATTTTGGCAATGCAGCACCACAATACATGGCAAAGGTCTTTATTAACCCATTGCATTACACCTTGGCACTGTGATTCTCAGTCCTAACAGCGTGCCAGCAAACAGTGACTCCGTGATGGTATCGTGCTGACATCTGACACACAAGGACATCCGGGTGAGCCTGGGCGATTGCATTTCACCAGCGTGTCAGCGGACGACTTGCACGTGATAACCTCATGCCACCGTGCCAGGATTGTGCCTGCTGCTATTGCCCACGAGAATGCAACGCCAGATCCTAACGCTGCAGCTGGTGCCCTTGTGCCAGTGCCCGGCAGCTCCGAGCCATGACATCATGCAGCACTGCAGGTTTGCACAGTGATGTCAGGCTCTGTCTGACGAGGTTTTAAACCAGTTGACGTCGTCTGCACCGCTGGTATTTGGGCAGGTAGCAAATCCGAGCGCAGGGCTCGCTCCTTACCCACCGCGCTCTCCCCGGGGGCACATCCCAGCAAGGTCACTCGACCTCCCCTTGGCCTGAAACGACTGCAAGGCCAGAAGCGCCCCAGCCCCGCCTCTGAGGCCTGCTCTGCGCTTCCCGGCTGGAGCGCCTATTGTGCCACGGTCCCTAACGCTGATGGCCTGAACCATTCCACAGCCTCCGGAGGGGGAGCCGGCAGACATAAATCGCGAGGACATCGCCCGTTCCCTTTTCCGGGCGCCTGGCTGGGTTGGGCCGGACGGCTCCTCACGGGCAGGGCGGGACGAGCCAGGCCCGGCGCGGCGGAAGTAGTCTCCTGCTTTCCCTCCTTCCCCCATCCCGAAGTGGTAGCACCCGAGGTGGGAAAGGCTGCGCATGCGCAGTGCGGACGGCAGAGCCCGGACGGACGTTGAGAGAACGAGGAGGAAGGAGAGAAAATGGCGTCGACGGGTGAGAGCCGGGGCTGGGCCGGGTCAGGAGAACCCAGGCCAGGCCCGGAGAGCGCCCGCACGGCGGAGCGGTCCCGCTGCCGGCGGGGTGGGGCGGGGCGAGGCCGGGCG